ATTTAGTAATGTCGACCAAGGATGAATAGTCTTGTAAAGTATTTATTAATCATTGTTCATCATTTACTATTGCATTATTTATTTATTCATTTTCCTTCGGCTTAGTTATGGAGTTAGATTTGTTTCTTTTTTTAGTTCAATCAAAAATATTTAGTTTTAAAGAAAAATTTCTTACGTAGTAATTAACAAATAAAAGATTTCCAGTAAAAAACACCTTTAATTAAAAAACTTATGTCAATGATAATAAAATATTTTGGTGACAAAGTCGCTAAGTTGGCAACACTGCTGGTGACTCCGGTCAAATCGCGAGAAAACGTAATGGCCAACCTGTGCATCCCGCCCACTGAGCTGCAGTTTTCAACTCGTAAAACTTTTCAACTCGCAAGCAAAGATTTTAGCAAAAGCAGAACTAATGAGCACACAATGAATTAATCTTGTGGTAACTGCATAAAATGGCAATAGTTAATTTTTTGCAGTGTGAATTTTTTATTTTAATATTTTTTTATTATTTAAAATCTTTTATTTTTTAATTGCATTGTACCTAATTATGGTCAAAAACTTCATGTTTGTTTGAATAATAAAGACACAAAATTTACCTCAGTGTACATGGGTTCAAAACTTTCAAACTCACAAGCAAAACATTTCAACCCCCAAAGCAAAGATTCTAGATGTGCAATAAATGACGGCAGAACAGAGAGCAAAATCAATGAGTGTGCAATGAAAATTGTGGAAACTGCATAATAGGACAAGTGTATTTAGTATTTAAAGTGAGTTCGGAATAATCTGATTGGCTTACCAATGATTACAGAGAGACCAGCCGCGATCAATCATATCACATGCTCCTCTCGAAATTAGTTTATGCAACTTCACTTAGTGTGTGTGTGTGTGTGTGTGTGTGTATGTTTCAGGGAGCTGCTGCGCTGTGAAAGTGCTCTGGCGCGTCTGTACTGCCACATGGCCCTCCTCAACATCTTTGCCCCCAAGAGTCCTCACACATTCACACACCTCTTCCACATCCCTGCAGTGCGTGACATCACACTTGAATATCTGCAGCTCCTGTCCAATCAGCTGCTGACTCCGCCTCTGCCAGGTGATGTCATACCAATATGTTGAAGAGCACTATTTTACATGCATAACAGCAATGTTAGAAGATTTATAAGAATAAAGTGACAAGATTTTAAAATATTTTTTGAGAATTTATTAATATTTACTAATGAGCAAAAATGATGTAAATACACATATTTGGAAATTAAGCTTTTTTAAAAGTGTTTAAGCATATTTTAGCTCTTCACTATAAGGTCCCATTAGTTAATGCATTAACTATCATTAAATAACAAAGAACAATTCTTTTGTTTTACACTATATATTATTGTTTATTAAGATGCTAAATGTCATGTTTGAGGGAAAAAGTTTTCTTTTATTTGAAATTGAAGAATTATTTAAATATTTGTCGTTAGTTTCCTTGAATACAACAAGTTGTTGAAGCATTTGTGTTTTTAAGCACTCTACAATAAGCTCCCATTAGTTCACATTAGTTTGTTCACTTGACATGGATTAGAATGTTTTTGAGGTTACTTTTAATGTACAATGTATAATTCTAATGCATAATTCTAATTTGTTAAATCCTATTTCTTAACATTACTCACAGTTAAAGTCAGAAAATATTTTTTAAATATTTCACAAATGATGTTGAACAGAGCAAGGAAATTTTCAAAGTATGTCTGATAATATATTTTATTCTGGAGAAAGTCTTATTTGTTTTATTTAGGCTAGAATAAAAGCAGTTTTTAATTTTCTTAAACCCATTTTAAGGTCAATATTATTATCCCCTTTAAGCTATTTTTTGATAGTCTACAGAACAAATCATTGTAATACAATAACTTGACTATTTACCCTAAGCTGCCTAGTTAACCTAGTTAACCTAGTTAAGCCTTTAACTATGTCACTTTAAGCTGAATACTAGTGTCTTGATAAATAGCTATTCAAGTATTATTTACTGTCATCACAGCAAAGATAAAATAAATCAGTTATTCGAAATTATTTATTGAAACTAGTATGTTCATAAATGTGTTGAGATATTTTTCTCCGTTAAACAGAAATTAGGGGAAAAATAAACAGGGAGGCTAATAATTCAGGGGGGTAATAATTCTGACTTCAACTGTATGCAGCATTAACAGTAAGGACTTTTTGTACTGTATTTATATATTCAGTTGGCGTGTCTGTGTGGAGTTTGCTTGTTCTCCTTGCGTTCGCATGGGTTTCCTCCAGGTGCTCCGGTTTCCCCTACAGTCCAAAGACATGCGGTACAGGTGAATTGGGTTGGCTAAATTGTCCATAGTGTATAAGTGTGTGTGAATGAGTGTTTGTGGATTTTTCCCAGAGATGGGTTGTGGCTGGAAGGGCATTCGCTGTGTAAAAACGTGCTGGATAAGTTGGCGGTTCATTCCGCTGTGGCTACCCCAGATTAATAAAGGGACTAAGCTGACAAGAAAATGAATGAATAAAATAAAATTATTATATAAATTTATTATAATAGTTGCATTGCATGTTCTCCCCGTGTTGGTGTGGGTTTCCTCTGTGTGCTCCGGTTTCCCTCACAGTCCAAACTCATGCGCTATAGGGGAATCGATTAACTAAATTGGCTGTAGTGTATGAGTGTGCATGTGATGGGTGCTTCACAGTACTGGGTTGTGGCTAGAAGGGCATCCACTGCGTAAAACATATGCTGGAATAGTTGCTGGTTCATTCTGCTGTGGTGACCCCTGATGAATAAAGAGACTAAGGCCCCGTTTACACTAATGCGTTTTAGTTTGAAAACGCATAAGTTTTGCTACGGTTATGCCATCCGTCCACACGATGCCAGAGCTTTCGAGTGCCGAAAACGGAGCAGAGAGTGCGCGAATGGTCACGTGATATACGTTTTTGGTGGCATAGTGTGGACGGAGATATGTTCAGAAATGCTAGGTGAAACGCTAGTGTGGACACATTGTATTTGATCTAAAACACCGTTTTTAAACTAAACGCATTAGTGTAAATGGGGCCTAAGCCGAATGAAAAATGAGTGAATGAATGAAAGATGAAGTCATTTCTCATAATCTGTCTGCTGACTCTCCTGTGTGTGTGTATAGATGGCCGGATCAGCTGTAACTCTGTGCGGTTGGAAATCAGGGAAACGCTCAGAGTGTCCGCGAGTGGCTGAGCGTGGCCATCAGCAGAGCTCTGCATCAGGGAGAGGACAGTCAGCTGGAGCTCACCAAACAGATCTGCTGCTTCCTGCAGGTACCACACACACACACACACACACACACACACACACACACACATATACACATCATCATCATCTTAAATCAGATTTTCGGGAATTCGGAAGACTGCAAAAACAAAACACGTCACATGACCTTCACATTTGAAGTTTATAACACTCCATAAACATCAAACATGTTTTTTTCATTATACACTCACCGGCCACTTTATTAGGTACACCTGTCCAGCTGATTGTTAGGGTAAATTTATAATCACATGGCAGCAACTCAATGCATTTAGGCATGTAGACATGGTCAAGACGATCTGCTGCAGTTCAAAGCGAGCATCAGAGTGGAGAAGAAAGGGGATTTAAATGGCTTTGAACGTGGCATGGTTGGTGGTGCCAGACGGGCTGCTCTGAGTATTTCAGAAACTGCTGATCTACTGGGATTTTCACGCACAAACATCTCTGGGGTTTACAGAGAATGGTCCGAACAAGAGGAAATATCCAGCGAGCGGCAGTTCTGTGGGCGCAAATGCCTTGTTGATGCCAGAGGTCAGAGGAGAATGGCCAGACTGGTTCCAGCTGATAGAAAGGCAACAGTAACTCAAATAAGCACTTGTTAAACCGAGGTCTGCAGAAGAGCAATTCTGAATGCACAACACGTCCAACCTTGAGGCGGATGTTCTACAGCAGCAGAAGACCACACCGGGTGCCACTCCTGTCAGCTAAGAACAGGAAACTGAGGCTACAATTCACACAGGATCACCAAAACTGGACAATAGAAGATTAGAGAAACGTTGCCTGGTCTGATGAGTCTCCATTTCTGCTGCCACATTCGGATGGTCGGGTCATACCTGTCAACATTGGGCTCTAAAAATAAGGGATATGCCCACCACAATAAGGGACACCCCCTCCTCCTGCCCCCCTTATAAAAATCCACAAATTGCTAAATATGTTCATTTGGAGCTGTTTCATTGTAAATAAACAGTTAAATGGTCAGTAATATGTTTTAAATTTATTTTTAACAAAATAAAAATAAAAATATACATTAGCATCAAATACATTAGCAAACAGTTCAGCTTATTAAAATTAATAGCTATTATAATGAAATAGAATCAAGCTATCAATCAATCTCATTAGTCGTTTCTCCACTGTATGACTTACACATTCTGATTAAAGAGCAACGAATGAACCTCTCACTTATTAAGATTTTTTCATTACATTAAATAAGAGGTGTCACTTCAAAAATGCACACATCTAACAATATAATGAAAACATTGACTGCTTTCCTAACTGTTTATGCTCATTTAAGACAAAACTAGTTGTGTTTGGGGGAAAAAAAACACCAAGATCGACATCTTTATATGTTATTATTATTAATTATGTGTGTATGTCTGTTTAAACACGCACCCAAAAGCAAAACTTTCTCTCCGATTCAAATCGCGTGTACAGAATCCGTTTGGGAAACAGCATCTGTTTATCATTATGGAGCACGTGAGCTGACATCACGGCACCTGTAATCAAAAGGAAATGGAATCGCGCCATTTTTAATATTTATCGAAAGCACAGAAGACACACGTTTTAGAGCAAGGGGCGACCCCTGGTGGTTCAGCTGTATGGGTTGCGTACAGGGAGGCTCGCTGTTCAGAGAAAGACTGAAAACACGGGAAAAATACGGGGAAATACCTTTACGGGAAAATAGCAGGATAGAACAGTAAAATACGGGAGAATCCTGGAAAGAACGGGAGGGTTGACAGGTATGGGTCGGGTCAGAATTTAGCATCAACATCAATAAAACATTGATCCATCCTGCTTTGTATCAGCAGTTGAGGCTGCTGGTGTTGGTGAAATGGTGTGGGGGATATTTTCTTGGCACACTGTGGGCTCATTAGTACAGCCTGTATACTAAAGTATGTACATGTTTGTGTATTTGGTGAAAATATGCTTAACATGTTTTTTTGCTGAATACATCTTCTCTGTACTCCAGAGTGCGCCTGAGCAGTTTACGCTGGAGGAGATTCCCATCACCGAGTCAAAGGTCAGCATGGACGTCAACTTTTCCGGCTCGTCTCCTGCAAAGAGAGTCAACTCAGCTGCCGCAAAGAGTGAGTTAAGAGCACAGTAAGGGATACAGCTGTGGATTCCCACATTTATATAGCGTCATTTTTATGACACTGTACAACAATAATTACAGTTTTTGCATTACTGGGAGGTTGGGGTAAGGGTAGACAATGTAACATACAGTCCGTAGATAAAATGACATATTGATTTTATGAAGGGGTCTAAGTCTTCTCTGTGTGGGTTTATGACTCTTGGTGCCACAAAGCCTGTGCCTGTGTGACACCTCACTTATCTAGAGGTAAGCCAGAGATGGTTGCCCAAACTTCAAAAGACATTCCTGTCCCCCCTTCCTCCCGAGACACACAGACACACAAGGACACACACACAAGGCTCCCGACGCTGAAATGGACTCAGAAATCCTGAATCAGCCCATAAGTAAATGTTATGTGTTTGTAAACTTTGTATTTCATTTCGGACTTTTCTATCATGTGAATCTCTCTCTCGTGCCCTTTTTAAGACACTATACCAGCTAAGAATTTGTGAATCATGTTGATGTATTTCTTAAAACTGTCGTGTTTAATACCGTTAGGTTTCTCCTGCCATTTTACAACACATGATGCGTAGCGCGTGATCATAATCTATACAGCTTAAATGATTTAATGCTCTGAGTTAATGTCTCTTTACATGCTTTCGGGCGGATCCTTATTTTGCATATTAGCGGTCCAGAGACAAAGAAAATCTCCCGCTCAAACTTTGCCAGGAGACCATTGGTCAGTCAGTAGTTGACATGCCACCACAGTTTAAAACCCAGCTGCGCGCGCAACTCTGCGTAGAAGATCCAAAAGAAGCTTTTCAAAAGGTGCGCCCCCCATTTGAGGGGGCAAACCGCATTTCTGTAACTGCATGGCTCGTCCGAGCCCACGTTTTCTTATTTTTTCAGCAAAGTAAAACTCAGTTTAAAGTTGCGATCATGTATCCTCCGACCTGCATTGCAAACTCCACGCATCAAGAAAGGACATCAAAGGACTCCGTACCCGAGTGCATCGTAAGAAACTCACAAAAAATCCTAAAACTCCAGGTATTTGGTCATGCGTTAAGCCTGTGCCCCTCATCAAAAATGTGTTTTTTGTAATCTTGGTGGTCCTGAATAGTTGTGTGGAACTGAGGTAGATTTGCCATTCTTTTACCTAAACTCTCTAATTCCTCGCTTTTCTGTTTCTTTTTGTTTTTTATATGTTCTATAGATCCATATATAGCCTATATATCTTCAGTATACGTTTGTTCTATGTTTGTGCGTTTGTTTGTTATATGTCAGACTAGTCAATAAATATCCTTATAATCACGTTGGATTGTATTGTTTGCCTCACAGAAAAAGTCACTGAAACGATTGATTCCTTGCTACAAGCTGTATTAAGTTAATCAAAACTTATAAATGATTGATCTACAAGGAGTAGTAATAATTCCCTTTCTAAATAAATAGATCATTACAGAGTCCACTTGAGCAAGCGGGCGAGGTCTGGTTATATTAACAATACGTTAATTCAGAATATGAATGATCAATAATAATTTGCTATTATTGATACTAAATATTCATAATCTGAGAGTCCGCTTAGACGAGGGGGCAGAATCATGAATATATATATATATATAACCAAATTGACAGAAGGGTGAGGCGGAATATAAATATTTTATAAAAACCCGTTATTGTTGATTATTAATATTCATAAACTGAGTTAATTTCGCTACAACATTAATATTATACCATCAATGGGCAGTTTGATAAATAATATGAATTATACGCTGTGTAATTACTGTTTTTGCATTACTGTGAGGGTTGGAGCGTTGAAATCAAGTCAACTTTATGGTAATGAGCAATGACGCGGTTCGGCAGCAAGCAATCAGAATGTAGAAATTCACCGATTGAGAAGAGTCCAGAAAACATTCTGTGAACTTTGGTTCCGACAACACTTGTTCCCAAGGGTTTGATTATTACGCCAGATTTCCAATTATTTCCAATGTTTTTCTTACAGGTACATACATTAAAAAAGTTACTGGCGAGTTTCTGATGTGCATCGATGATATATATATATTTATTTTTCTTTAAAAAAGCGAGAATCTCATGCGAAAAGACAGAACAGTATTGCTGCTTCAGGATATTTCAGACATATGGACACGTTTAAAAATTAAGTGAAGCAAAGCCACACCACATACCAAGGTTATTATAGTTAATGAAAACTAACGAAAAAACGAAAACTAAAATGTTAAATAATTGTCGTTAACTGGAATAAAAATAAAAACGAGAACTAACTGAAACTGTATTGTGTCATGAGAGTAATCTCTTCATTCGTTTCACAGATTACTTTTTATTAAACAGACACGCATGTACCACGCTTTTCCTATAAACTCTGTCATTCACTTTCCGGGTTAACCCCTTTGACCCCCACGGGGTGGGGTTACACCAAACAGGTACAATATGATTGGTTAACATAATAAACTGGTTTCCCACATCTTCCCTCTTTAGAAAAGAAGATCATGTTTTCCACTTTTAACACAAACCCTAAACATTGGTTTATGTTTAACAGCATACCCAAATTAAAGTGCAACATCAAGCAATGATATTGTTTTTTTTTTTTTGTTTTTTTTTTATTAACTCAAATCTTAATTCCTTTCTATAACCTGAAACAGTCCAAGTAGTCTAAGTAACGTTTGGGCGTTTTCACCACCCTTCCACTGGAAGTCGTAACTGGTGGTTTAGTGTCCAGTAAAGGTGTTGCTGGGTCAACTGTGTGAGTATTTGAATGTTCAGTCCCAGACAGAGCTGGTTCTTTTTCTTCCTGCAATTCTGCTTGGATTGTAGCATCTGGTTGCGATGGCATTGCTTGCAAATGCTTCCTGTTTCTACGCAGGACAGCTCCTTTTTGAGTTTGCACCAAGTACGATCTTGGTTCTGATGTTTTGTTTAGCACAATCGCTGGTGTTTTCCAGTGCTTTTCGCTGTCCAGCTTAAGAAGAACCTTCTCTCCAGGATGTAACTCGGGCAGTGTGCGAGCAGAGTGTCTCCGGTCATAATAGAACTTGTAAGACTCCTTTGCAGCTTTATCTTTCTTCTCCACTGCTTTAAGATCATTGGGTTGAGGTTGATATTTTTCCTCAAGCATTGGCAGTTTGGTTCTAATCTGCCGTCCAGTCATTAATTGTGCAGGGCTAAGTCCAGTTGCAACGACCGGAGTCGCACGGTAACACATCAATGCCAGGTGAGGATCAGGTTGGCAGAGAATCCGTTTTGCAGTTTGAACTGCTCTCTCTGCAGCCCCGTTGGCTTGGGGAAAATGAGGACTTGAAGTTGTATGATGGAAATCATAGTCTGTACAAAACTGTCTAAATTCAGCTGAGGCAAACTGTGGGCCATTGTCAGATACAAGCTCCCTGGGAATACCCCATCTCACAAACATGCACTTCAGTCTGCTGATAACATTAAAGCTGGATAGTGTTTGCAGGTGAGCTATTTCAATGTCACGTGAGTGGTAGTCTACAACTACTAAGTAAGTTTTCCCATTCAACTCGCATAAATCTGCAGCAATCTTACACCAGGGACCAGTAGGCAGGGGTGTAGTGATCAGGGGTTCTTTTCTTTGTGTAGGTTTATGAGTCCTACAAAATGTGCACCCTGAAACAATCCTGTTGATGTCATTGCCAAGTCCTGGCCACCAAACTGACATCTTTGTCCTCTGGCGACACTTTGCGAGCCCCTGATGTCCTTCATGAATTCGGCTTAACACTTCCTCCCTCATCAACACAGGAACGACAATTCTGTCCTCATACAAGACTAACCCATTGACAAAAGACAATGAAGCCCTGGCTGTATGATAATGACTCAAGGGGAAGGGTATGTGCTTTGGCCAACCCATGCTGAGAAAACCTATCACTGCCTGGAGATCTGCATCTAACTCTGTAGCCTTCCTAATGGAATCGAGCTTGGATTGTGACACCTCTTTAGATGCAACAACTGCTTCAACATATGCCTTCACCTCATCTTCCATCTCTGAGTGGAAGTGCCCACTCAAAGGTTTCTGAGAAAGCGTGTCCGCCACCACCAAACATTTACCTGGAACATGGACTGCCTTTGCATTGAAGCGCATTAATCGCATTAGCAAACGCTGACATATTAACGGAGCACGATCAATATCATACGAATTTATTAGTGGAACTAGCGGTTTATGATCTGTCTGCGGGCAAAATTCTTCCAATCCTTGAAGGTAACGAGCAAAACGCTCGCAGGCCCACACTCCCGCCAAGCACTCCTTTTCAATTTGTGAGTACCTGCGCTCTGCTTCAGTCAAAGATCTCGAGCAGAATGCGACTGCTCGCGTCACATTACCATGAACTTGAAGCAGAGCAGCTCCCAACCCAAAACTGCTCGCATCAGCACTAACCATTGTGGGTTTTTCAGGGTCATAATATGCCAGAGTAGGAGCTGTGGCCAACATGGATTTTACCTTACTCAGAGCCTGCTCCTGGACCTCGGACCAAATCCAGACTGCATCTTTCTTCAGCAGAGCTGTAACTGGTTGCAGCACTGTTGAAAGCCCTGGCACAAATTTGCCTAAATAATTGATCATTCCTAAAATTTGCCTTAGCTCAGTCACATTAGTGGGACTAGGCATCTCAGTAATTGCTGTTACCATGGTTGCGTCCGGCTTGATACCGTTCTGACTGATGGTGTGCCCAAAATACCGTAGCTCAGGTTTGTTGAAGTGACATTTATCACGATTTAATTTCAGACCTGACTCTCTGATAGTTTTCAAAACAGCCCCAAGATTCTCGTCATGCTCATTTTGATCTTTACCCCAGACTAGTATGTCATCCATGACAACTACCGTGCCTTTGTGTCCAATTAGGAGTTTGCTCATTTCCCTTTGGAAAATCTCAGGGGCCGAAGTGACCCCAAACGGCAATCTATTAAAACAAAACCGCCCTACTGGGGTTATGAATGTAGTCAAATTTACGCAGTTTGGGTCTAAAGGAATTTGCCAAAACCCTGAGGATGCGTCTAGTGTGGAAAAGACACACGCACCTGAGAGCTTGGGGGCTATATCCTCCAACGTTGGGAGAATGTAACGCTCACGCTTTACAGCCTGATTGAGCCGTTTCAGGTCTACACAAATCCTAACTGAACCATTCTTTTTCACTACGGGCACCATTGGGGCACACCATTCGGTCGGTTCAGTCACTTCGGAAATTATACCCAAGGACTGCATACGTTCGAGCTCTTTTTCCACTTTAGGCAATAGGGGAAAGGGAATTCTTCGAGGGGTGGACAGACTATAGGGAGTAGCATCTGACTTTAGCTCAATTTTTACAGGTTCACAATTAAGCAAGCCAATGTCTCCATAGACATCACTGTGGTCTGCAATTTCATCCACTCTCTGTACTAGATCCATCTCACAGGCAGTGCTACGACTAAGCAAATTGTTGGCAAATGGCCCATCAATTACAAAAACCCAAAATTCAAAATTTTTCCCTTTTCTTTCAGTGTTTGCTAGAAATTTCCCCATGCAATTCACTTTTCCTCCTGGGCTTCTCGCATTTATACTTGTTTTAACCAGCAGGGGGCGCTCTTGTAAGCTTTCAAACACTGAGCGTGACATGATGCTGATGTCGGCTCCGGTATCAATTTTGAATTGGACCGACCTGCCTTGAATAGGCAAAGTAACACACCACCTGTCTTCTGCAGCTGACTCATTCATTACAGAGCCCAGGAAAAATGAATCGCCAGTTTCACTATCACACACTACAAGCTCGTTGACATTTTTAGTTTTACATGCAATTGCAAAATGTCCCAGCTTATTGCATCTTCTACACCTCTTGTTTCGTGCAGGGCAATTATTCTCATTGTGTGTGTGATTACAGCGTGTGCAGTCCACAATCTGTTTTCTCTCTCCACCTTTTTCCTTTTTCGGTGGCCCCGAAAAACGCTTTGAACTTTTGTAATGTCCGTGCTGTACGGCGCTCACATCAGCGGCTGTTCCACCGCTCGCATTTTGCGTCTTAATAAGCTCCGACTGCCGGGCGATCTGGACCGCTTTATCCAACGTTAGTTCGGGTTCCATTTGTAACTTCTGAGAAACGTCACGATCTGCAATCCCTATGACAACTCTGTCCCGTATTTGTTCAACTTTGCTCGCGCCAAACTCGCAGTATTCAGCCAGTTCATAAAGACACCTGACAAAAGCTTCAACAGTCTCTCCTGATCTCTGTGTGCGCTGATGAAAACAGGCTCTCTCATGAATAACATTCCTCCTGGGCACAAAATGTTCATCAAATTTGCCGACTACAGTCTCGTAATTGTTTGCGTCTGAAGCTTCGGCAAACGTGAACGATCCGAATATCGTTTCGGCATCCCTGCCCATTGCATACAACAGAGAGTTAACTTGTACTTCACCGTCTTCCTTGTTCAGTTTCGTCGCGATGCGGAACCGGGAGAACCGCTGGATCCACGCGGGCCAGGTTGCAGGCTGCGCGAAATCAAAGGCTTCTGGTGGGTTGAACTTGGACATTGTCAGTTCCAAAACTGGGCGAGCTTGCTCGTGGGTATAACGTACGATTCTGACACCATGTCATGAGAGTAAACTCTTCATTCGTTTCACAGATTACTTTTTATTAAACAGACACGCATGTACCAAGCACTTCCTATAAACTCTGTCATTCACTTTCCGGGTTAACCCCTTTGACCCCCACGGGGTGGGGTTACACCAAACAGGTACAATATGATTGGTTAACATAATAAACTGGTTTCCCACATATTGTGCACATACAAAAACTAAAACTAACTGAAACTGTATTGTGTACTTACAAAAACTAAAACTAACGAACTGTATTGTGTACATACATAACTAACTGAAACTAACTAGAATTATAGCAAAAAACTTCTTCATTTTCGTATTCGTAAATGTATTTAATAAATAATCTTACTGTAAGCATTTTAGAAGTAAATATAATCCGCGCTGCAGGTATTTGTGTTTGACCCTTTCGGACCTCAGAGTCTCCTTCCGCCATTGGGCAGATCGAGCCGGTTCTCCTCGAGTCATCTTCTCTGTTGCTCCCGCGACAAAAACAAGTGGACATGACAGCAGCACGGTGATAGCATTAAATACAGAGACTTAAAATTATTACTTTAACACATTTGTGCCCAATAATGGGTTGTATTCCTGTAGCGCAATCGCGAACGAATCTTTGTAACCGAATCTTCTTAGTGAACCGGTTGAACAAGTTCACCAAATCGAACTGAATCATTTTAAACGATTCGCGTCTCCAGTAAGCATTCACCCACTTCTTACGTAATAACTAGCCTAATACCCCCTCTGACTCTTAGATAATCCAATATATAAGCTGCATCCCAAATGGCACACTATACACTATGCACTCATGCACTATGTACTTATGCACTTACACACTCAACAGGATAGTACATGTATGTAGTGTTGTCCCAAATGGCACACTAATGTTTTTTTACTAAGCGGAAATTCAAACCGTTTCCCTGATGATGTTTGACTGTTGCCAAATCAGTGAAATAAACAACTGAATTATCAAGTAATACCTGCCGTGAGTATTGCCGCATTTACCATCCGGAGGCGCTATAATCACTCTCGTAGGAGAATTTTGCTTTCACCATCCAAAATAAATAAAGTTAATCAACATGTGCGTCCGATCGCTCCGCCCCTTCCGCTACGTAAGCAAACCTGCGGTCGTTGAGTGCGTGAAGTGTCCATCATTACACACTTAATTTTAGCGGCTGAATGAGTGCATCATCCGGGTAATTAAAGTGCACTTATTATTTTTAGAGTTTTCAGTGTGAACACACTGCTTACACTATTTATACTACAAAATGGCGTAAAATAGTGCATAAGTATGCGATTTGGGACGCAGCTATACTCTCAAGCAGTTATTAGAACAGTAACGTTACATTGAGAGTTGGTGAACCGATAATACTGCGCATGCGTGATTCAGTGAACCAAACACAAACGGTACAGCCTGCTGTATGACTGAACTGAACTTAAAACAACTGCAGCGCGGGTAAACCGAGGGCTTAAATGAGAGGATCTGGAGAAAAAACTTAAATTTATTTCATAACAGACAATCGTAATGAAATTTAAATAAGTGAAGCATGATTCAGTTGGGTTTACAGTTAGTAAAACTTTATTGTAAGACATTTTTCAAATCATGATGATGTTTTAACTGACTGAAATTACTATTGCCGACTACATAATGTTGAGTCCTAACATCTGCGTTAGAAATCTGAATTTCCCATCACCAGGCCCGGATTAATAAATCAGAGGCCCCTGGGCACAATGTCTTGTAGGCCCCCTATAACCGCACCCCATAGTTTAATTAAAAATAATATTGATATAATATTTGTTAAATAAATAAAATTAATCTATAATGTATTGCCCACATTTTTTTAAAATAGATGATATACAGTACATATATTTGTAGTCTACAGAGATTTAACTTATTTTTAAAGCATTTAAGCACACTTTAAATTTTTTTTTAATACAAATAAGGGAAGCTAATAGATTTTAATATACTTGTTCAAGTTCACTGAAGCAGCACTAAAATTTATATTTAAGGGTATTTTTAATGTATAACTTCTACAAACTTATAATGCATATGATTTGGATAACACCTCTCCAATCCAGTTCTAGGAATCAGAGTCCTCAGTAATACACACACACTTCATTATTCATTATTCCTACTTGTCTTCCTCGTGATGGAGAGTATGTGCCCATAATGCCCATTGGTTAATCCGGCCCTGCCCATCACTACGTCTAACCTCACAAGCAGCCTTGCACACATATTGTATTTAGGGCTGCTTTCTTGTGGGCTGTTGTATTTGAATTTGAGGATGGGTAGATGGTTGTGGTAGATGATAGTGTTCATGTGTCCTCTGAATACATGTTTCAAAAAATGTATGACTGCGTTTTTAATTATACAATATTTATCCTGTTGATTTTCAATCTTGTACCTAACAAATATCCTCATTTAGAAAAAAAACCTAAAACTAATACTGAAACTAATAAAAACTAAACTAAAACTAAGACATTTTAAAATATAGAAACTAATAAAAACTAGGAAATCTGCCTCTAAAACTAATAAAAACTAACTGAATTTGAAAACAAAAAGTCAAAACGAAATAGAAACTAAAACTAAAGAAAAATCCAAAACTATTATAACCTTGCCACATACAACTTGATCTTCCGTTGTTTATTGAATTTGATAAAAAGTGTGCAACATCTTTACGCTAGAAAGCATGTTTTATGTGGTAATGTAACTGATATGATATGATATGCTGCAACGGCGACCTTTGACGTTTTCACCACCTTCGGTGTGAATGCACAGTTATAGGAATGAATGTGATGTTCAATATGAGAAAGGTAAGAATGATCGCTATGACCAATACAGTAGTTTCAGTGTTAAGGAAATTTTGTGTTCAAATATTCATTTATTCATTCATTTCTGCTTAGTCCCTTTATTAATCTGGGGTCGCCACAGCGGAATGAACCACCTGTACAAATATTTGATAATGCTAATTAAATTTTTTCTCTCTCTTAGTTCCTCTCTGTTCAAAGCTCCATGGACTCGAGTGATGGTGTATGGATTCAGTCATAAAGTGCAGCGTAATGGCCAGCTGAACCTGATGGGGGCCGTGTGTTTCCCGCTGGACGCCTCTCCGTCCAACACCGGCCTCACTTCTCCACCCACAGCCAACCAGTATCCTAGCATCATCATCCCCACCGACAAAGTGCACGACAAATTGGGCACGTCACAATCTCTTACATACAGTGGGGGAAAGAAGTATTGAACACGTCACCATTTTTCTCAGAAATCATATTTCTAACGGTGCTGGAGACTTGAAATGTTCACTGCATGTCGGTAAGAACTAAAGAAATCCATATATACAAAGAAAATAAAACCAGTTTGTTTATTCATTAAATGATGTGCAATAAAATGAAATAACGCAGGGAAAAATAATCGAACACATGAAGAAATGGGGTGTAGAAAGACTTGGAAAGCCCAGACAGCAGCTGAAATCTCTCAGTAGTTCTTTAGCAACCCTCTGCCCTTCCTCAGTGTAAATGAACATCAGCTGCTTCAGTCTAACATCTAAATTAGCAGGAGGAAAAAGATGAAACCAGGGTGGACATTTCAGCAAGACAGTGATCCAAAACACAGCCAAGGAGACTCTCAAATGCTTTGAGAAATGAGAAAGAAAACCAAGCTGTAGAATGGCCCAGCCAATCATCTGAACTGAATTCAATAGAAAACACAAAATAAAGCTCAGATTTAATAGACGAGACCCACAGAAGCACTAAAATTTTGAATCTCTGTTGAAGTCTATGAGAAACTCACACTTGAGCAACGCATGAGGCTTCAGTCTCCATGTGAGAGGCGTCTTTAAGCTGCGATCACCAAAAAATCCTTTTATATAAAGTATTAAATACGTTGGGCGAGGCAGTCACAGCAAGAAGGTCGCTGGTTCGAACCTCGGCTCAGTTGGCGTTTCTGTATGGAGTTTGCATGTTCCAAATGCAAACTTGCTGAATAAGTTGGCGGTTCATTTCGCTGTGGCGACCCCGGATTAATAAATGGACTAAGCCGACAAGAAAATGAATGAATTAAATACGTTTCAACAGTTCAGTACTTTCTCCTCGTGTCATTTCATTGTTATTACACAAAACTCATATTTTTTGGTTTTGTTTTATGTTTATGTTTGTATTGTTTGGGTTTTTATCAAAATCTGGTTCAATTCTATGTCAGCAGCTCTTATAGTAAAACATGGCGTGTTTAATACTTATTTTCCCCACTGTACATTTATTTTATTTTAACAGTGATCTGCATTATTTTGCATTCTCTAAGTGAACAATCAGATTCATTAAGACCATTCCTGCTGACTTTAGCTTATATCTATATTTCTGTCCACAGGCGTGTCTCCCCCTCCTGGAGCAGTGCTGGTGTTGCACTCGTTGCTTCATGAGTTTCCATTGGCGATGGCCTTCGCTGAACAGCTGCTAACCTACAGTGTAGGAGAAACCATAGAGCGCTCTGAGGATGAGCTGGACACGGTGCCCACTTCTGTGCTCATTCAGGTCGTGGAGCTGCTAGGTGAGATATGCTTCTTTAATTTGCTCTGAGTTTATACAACCAGGGGTGTATAAACTCAATCCTGGATGGCCGGTGTCCTGCAGAGTTTAGCTCCGACCCCAATTAGATACACCTAAACAAGTTAATCACGCTCTAACTAGCATTCTAGAAACTTCCTGGCAGGTGTGTTGAAGCAAGTTGGAGCTAAACCCTAGACATTATATGTTGCATTCAACACATTGCTGTTTTGTTTGTTTCAACAGTTTGTTTTCCTTTTTTTTTTAAGTCTTGAAGTGTCTTAAATGTGCTATTATAGTGTTGTCACGATACTGGAATTCGGTACCAATCGATACTGAAGTTTTAAAAACAACCCAGGCTCATTCTGAAAGCGTAGTCCCATGGACGTTTTTGGAGACCGCAAAATACGTCCCGGGAGGTACTTATTCATGCATTTTTGGTGTTCGAAAATCCACAAGAGGCCGCTGTGTACGCTTTTTTAGATCTCAAATTTCTCGAGTAAGTTCTCCCGCTAGTGCCGTTTGCGCCCGCTGTCCACGCGTAAACCCACTGGAAGCCGCTTTCGACCGACCCACCCTCCTTCTTCCTTAAACCCAACCAATTTTATCGATTGAACCGCCCACTCACTTCCCTAAACCCAACCAATGATTTTCAAAAGCCGTCCAGAAAAAGAAAAGCCCTCGTCTGATTTTTACCATGTTTTTGGATTTTACCACATTCTTACCCTGTTATTCACTCATTCATTTTATTTTTTGGATTCTGTTTTTGTCTTACCTGATTTCTGGAACCGCTCCTCCCTGGATTTGAATCCCGCCGTCCTTGTCCTCGTCTGGCGTCTCAAGTTCGTTGATGTACACGACGAGCTAACTGGACAAACTGGTTGCGGTGGGAAAGCCTTCCACAGTTAGCGTTCGTTTAAAAAAAATTTAATGCAGCCATACCATACGTACCTCCGGCTACATAATTCGCGGTCTCCAGAATCGTCCCCGGGACTATGTTTTCAGAATGAGCCTGTGATGCTGTTTAAAAACCTCCATTTCACGCTAACATTTGAGCGCCATTGAGCGCTTTCTTAAACAGCGCTGATTTTGTGTTCACATGCTCAACAGAAATGACTGCAATTGGTCGTGAAGGTCGTCGGTTTATTGAACTCACTGCTATTTACTGAGTGTAACCACATATACAGGAACACTGTTTTAAAGTCACATCCATTAGCTGATTTGGATATAAGCTGACATATGAGTGATCCGCTGATGAATCACGGCTTTAAAATGCTCCAGTGTAACACAGATATCATATACAGTTATTTTAAACACTTTCTATGGTGCTTTATGAAAATTCAAAGGGTTTTCTTTAAAATGATACTAAATTTTTGCATTTACACCTCTGCGTGTGGATTTTGGAAGCTTTTAAATTTGGGTAGGCAAAATCCATGTGGAAATCCCAAAATAGCACTGGGGATTAAGAGGTTAATGAAATCTTATTGCTAAGTGTGACCGATTAAATATTTAAAGGTGCAGTATGTAGTTTTTACCACTAGAGGGCATGTATTCACAACAAACAAAGGTGTAGTCTGATGACTGTGTGACGGGTGCTTTCACACCTAGACTTTTGTTTCGGAACATGTCTCGTTTGCCCAGTTAGCGTGGTTTGTTTGGCATATGTGAATCCAGCAGTCGCGCTTGGATCCGTGCCAAAACAATCGGTCTGAGATCGCCTGAATGAGGTGGTCTCGACTCGATTTAATGAACTCTGGAGCGGATCTATTGTAGTAAGAAAGCGATACGATCCGAGCCCGGCTATATCACAGTGGATATGTAATAGGCATATACTCGGCTATATAAAGACAGAATTATGAGTAGGGGGGGAGGTCATTCCAGACATCCCAAGTCTCCCGGAAGTCTCCCGCAAATGCACAGTGGACCCTCCCAGTCCACAAATACGTTGTGCACCCTTCTCAACCCTCCACACCGAATCCCTCCTCGCTCTTTAGTCTTCATACACGTTGCGCGCACCCTGTCAAACACCACCAAACCCCCAGCCCCCCTGACAGCAGAGCAGGACTCTTCAAAATAAACCGTGAAACTGACCAATGTGAGGAGAGTTTACTCACACATGACTTGTTTTAGCTCTTTTGGTCCGTTCAGTAACTTTGCAGTGTGAAAGTGAACCGCACCAAGAACAAAGAGCAACAATGAAGCAACAAATGAATCTGTTCACAGGTGTGAAAGCACCCTGAGTGTGGAATCATGGGAGTTGTAGTCTTCATTATTCTACAGGACTTATGTTGATGAGTAAAGTTATTCAACACTATTAGTATTAACCATTCAGCACAGGAAAGCAGCAGAGCTTTTATTATGCCATAGTCCTACGCTTCTGGTTCTTTATCTTGTGATCACATGGAGAAGCAGCCCTTTTTTATCACACTAAATACATGTTAAGCAGGTCGCACACCAGAAGCGCCACGCAGCGCCATGCATTTTAGAATTCTAAGCATAGGTTTCTATCAGGATACACACATCAGCGCCGCAAGTCGGCGGCTGTCGGCGGCGCCCGGCCACGGCTCAGGACGCAGTTCATTTTTCAGCCGCGCCACAGAGCGCCATCTGATTAGTTTCATGTTAAATATCATTCTAATGTGCGTGTCTGGTGTGTGATACTTTAAACTGTCATGTGCGCTCCGTGTCGCGGCGCCGAGCGGCACTTCTGGTGTGCGACCTGCTTTAGGCTTCTGTTATAATGCTGCTATGTGCAGTTGAATAAAACACACAACATATTAAAGCCTCGCTGCTGTTTCCCTGTTTTCTAGAAAACCAAAGCAGAAATGTGTGTGATGACATTAGCATGAACACACAGCACACATTACATCTATCTTAATGTCAAAATTCTACAAAAAAATTAGTTTGGATAATGTATGTACATAAGACAGCAAAATATATAACACTGTCCGAGTGGTTTTTGCATATTTTAATGAAAAATCATACATATTGTGCCTTTAAGTTCATACTAGCATTCCTTATCATATAAAAATGCAACTTTTCTTATGAAATGCTGTATATAATAGCAGTTTATGTGTGATTTTATCATGTACTGTAGATCATATAATAAATGTTGTTTCTCCAGAACTGTACTGAGTGAGAAAACAACCGTCCTCAAGCCAAAATCTCCAGAGAAGACCAAACCCGATGAAAAAGACCCTGAGAAATCTCCTGCCAAAAATCTTGAAGGTCATTAATTTTACTTTTCTGATTTCTGATTTTATGTGGAAATTATAAACACAAACCTCATATATGCTCATCTAAACGTAAAAGATGTTAAAGGGACAGTTAAATACTGAAAATTCCTCATCCGCCACTTGTTTAAAACCTGTTTGAGTTTCTTTCTTCTGTTTAGTCAGAATTATTAGCCCCCCTGTCTATTCTTTCTCCAATTTCTGTTTAACAGAGAGCAGATTTCTTCAACACATTTCTAAATATAATAGTTTTAATAACTCATTTCTAATAATTGATTTATTTTATCTTTGCCATGATGACAGTAAATAATATTTGACTAGATATTTAACTAGGCAGGTTAACTAGGCAGGTTTGGGTAATTAGGCAAGTTATTGTATAACGATGGTTTGTTCTGTAGACTATCAAAAAATATATAGCTTAAAAGTGCTAATAATATTGATCTTAAAATGGTGTTTAAGAAAATTAAAAACTGCTTTTCACTTGATCCTTTGATAGTCCTCTTTGGTGTATCTCTTGAACCTGATTTGACAGTGCGTGACAGCAAGGTTCTTGCCTTTACCACAATTCTAGCCAGACGTGCCATACTTTTAAAATGGAAACACACTTCTTCCCCTACACATGACAAGTGGATACAGGACATTTTTTACTGTATCAGACTTGGAATGCTGAGATGCTCATTGCTCACTCTCTGGCTCAATAGATTCCTTTTATAAGATTTGGGATTACTTTCTTGACTACATGAAAGGCCTGCCTATTACACCTGGTGCTGGCAACCTGTAAAATTAACCATTTTATTAGAAAGTTTTAATTAATTTTATTATTATCATTTTTTGTATTTATTTAAATGCATTATTATTATTTTAATTATTATTATTTATCCCATCTGTATCCAGTTACTCTGATGTCATGTTCTAATGTATTTAATTTTCTTTTTTTGGTATTTATGTATTAATTTATTTGTTGAGTTAATGAACGAGAGGTTAGGGGGTGGGATTAATAATGGACAGTACATTACTGTTTACCTCTCAATATTTAATTTTTATTGTCATGCAAAAGACCAATAAAAAAACTGAAATAACTAAAAAAAAGCTTTTATTCTAGCCAAAATAAAAACAAATAAGACTTTCTCCAGAAGAACAAATATTATCAGACATACTGTGAAAATTTCCTTGCTCTGTTAAACATCATTTAGGAAATATTTAAAAAAGAAAACAATAAATAAAAGAGGGCTTATGATTCTGACTTCAACTGTATGTGTCCAATAATAATGTTCAGGAAGTCTCTCAATATCTAAATATACACTCCACTGCAAAGGCTAATAAAAACGTAAATATGACTAAAAATTAGACATGAATGTTGTTACACATAACTGGGCACATAACAACTGACATCTAAAGGTTGAACTGTGGTTTTGCAGGTGATTAAGTGTATTTCGAGCCTAAATTCATCAAATAATAATTAAGTACATAATAAAAATTATTATGTATAGATATGTAAATGTATTTAAGTTAATTATAATAATAATTAATAATTATATAAATATAAATAAATAAATAAATTATTTTGCTTATGCTTATACTTCAGCTGTATATATAGCCCCCCTTTGATTTATTTATAAATTTTTTTTTAAGTATTTCCCAAACGATGTTTAACAGAGCAAGGACATTTTCACAGTATGCCTGATAATATTTTTTCTTCTGGATAAAGTCTTATTTGTTTTATTTCAGCTAGAATAAAAGCAGCTTTTAATTTTTTATTCACCATTTTAAGGTCAATATTATTAGCCCCTTTAAGCAATATTTTATTTGATAGTCTACAGTACAAATCATCGTTATACAATAACTTGCCTAATTACCCTAACCTGCCTAGTTAACCTAATTAACCTAGTTAAGCCTTTAAATGTCACTTTAAGCTGTATAGAAGTGTCTTGAAGAATATCTAGTCAAATATTATTTACTGTCATCATGGCAAAGATAAAATAAATCAGTTATTAGAAATGAGTTATTAAATCTGTTATGATTAGAAATGTGTTGAAATAATTTTCTCTCCAATAAACAGAAATTGGTAAAAACAATAAACAGGGGGATTAATAATTCTGACATCAACTGTATACACATACATACATACATTATTTCTAAGTATATACAGAAGATTAATAAGGGATATGGTGTGAGAGGTGAATTTAGGAATTTTACACCCGTGAATATTTTTATTTTATCAACTCTATTCAATCAAATATAAATCACTCTTGCAGGTAGGTTTAGTTCTGTGACCGAATATCTTCAGATAAGAAACTGTTCCGCACTCAATCCTTCATTAAATAAACTGAAGCAGCTGAGGAGACAAAGGTTTCTGCTAAAAGCTTCTGTAAACCAACACAAACTATTTTTCAATAGATGTATATGTTAAACCTTTAAAAATACCAACACACACACAGAGAAAGTCAATGTTTTCAGATTATTTTATTGGCTTGACAAATGTTCCATATGTATCTCCAAAGCATTTGTGATGTTTACATTAAATAGGACATATAAAAACAATTGACATAGTAGTGGTGGTTTTTCTAATAAATAATAATTAACAGCACATTAACAATCATCTGTAGGATAAAACAATAATAATAAATAGTTTATCTAATAGTCAACAGATTAAGATTCATTTATAAACAATTTAGAATCCTGTTTGTGTGCGCACACACGCGCTCCCAGCTGATGGTTGCTTAGCAACGACAGTCATAGAATGTGTTCTATAGTAGTTCTATGTTAAAACAGCTCATCTCAGTTTGCCAGCATTCAGGACGGTGACTTGGTAAATCACACAGTTACTGTACGAATTGACAAATCTGTGATTGTGAAGAACTCGTTCGCTATGGATACTCACTATAATCAGTCTTCAGACAACCCTCATCACGAGTGGTCATCGGTTGTTCTGACTTTGGACCCAGATGTGGACGAACAAGAACTGATTGAGTCAATGAAACAGTTCAGCCAAATCCACTCTTTGGATTTTTCTTTTGATGAAGACACTAATTGCAGACACATTTATGTGACTTTTGAGCATTCAGGACGGGACCAGCAACCAGATCCTGTGGTCCCCACGAGCCGCTTTATTGAGCTGAAGACACTGCTCGTGAGCAATCTGCACCCAATGGTCACCGAACAACAGCTTATTGAAAAGTTTGGTGCATTGGGGTCCATCTCGACTGTGCAAGTGTGCAGAAACAACATCATCTCTCCTGCTTATGCCTTTGTGACTTTCCATCATCGACGTGATGCAGTGCGAGCACAAAAAGCTCTGAACTTCACTGATTTACTGAATAAACCTCTGATCATCATGTGGGGCCCAGACAAGACAATTGAGGTCCTCTCAGATAATGACAGCAGCTCTCCAAGACAAACAGAGGAGAGAGAGACAGCTGGAGAAACAGAGGAGAGAAAGACCAGTGAAGAAACAGAGAGAGAGGCCGCTGGAGATACAGAGGAGAGAAAGACCAGTGAAGAAATAGAGAGAGAGGCCGCTGGAGATACAGAGGAGAGAAAGACCAGTGGAGAAACAGAGAGAGAGGCCGCTGGTGAAACAAAGGAGAGAGCGAACAGCGAGTCTTCATGGGGAAGAAGGATCTCCAACAATGTGAAAAGTGCTATGAAAGCTGCGGTGAGCAGTCCAGCAGCCTGGGTCGGAGTCGGCATAGGTGTTTGTGCTGCTTATGCCTACTTCAGGAGCAGGAGCTAGTGTGGACACATTCTAAAAGGTAATTTCATCTCATTTAAGTGACATGACATCTGACTGAGCTTAGTAACACTTCTGGAACATGCTGTTTGTCACACACACATATGTATATATAGAATTCTCTGTGGGTCAGAGGTCATGTTAATTCATACTCAAATTCAGCTTCATTTAGACATCGACACTGATTTTCTTGACTCTGTTCTCTTCCAGACGAGAAGGCCTGCCTCACGATCTCCACTCATCATCCCCAGAGTGACCAATCACTGCTCCAGAAAGACCTTGATTTCCCCAGCAGGCCAAACACTTGCAATATATGTGAATTGAATAAACTGTCTTGTGTGTGTCTCATTCAGCATTAAAGCTCAGCCTTGCAATTTATATCCATCCAAGAGAAGCATAATAGCACTTTGTTCCAGACACAGAAGTAAACGATAGAATTTTTTTCACATCTATTGATGTGTTAGACAATAATTTACAGACCGTATGAGAAGGACTGCATCAAAGAACAATCAAATGTAGAATTGCAAATCATTATTTCATATATAATGTACAGTGGGTTCTAATAATGTCTGTACAGGAAGATATTCGGAAGAACGTTGGAAAAAAGCAGCTGTTGACTTCCATAGTATTTTTCATTCCTACTATTGTGGGTTTTTTCTGTACCACTTTATATTGTTGGTTAGATCATCTTTATTTTGAGTATTAGTAGACTGTCTGCTTAATATCTGCTGATTCTGCTCCTTCAACAGACATTTAACTGACTATAAGAAACTTTTCAAGTGCATGTCAACTTACCCTAACCCCAACCCAACAGTCTAATGAAAATTAGTTGGCATGTACTGTAGATGCAATGTAACTTAAATTCAACAAACTGACCATCAAAATAAAGTTTGGCTGTTTTTCTTTTACAACATTCTTCAAAATATCTTCTTTTGTGTTCAACAGAAGAAAGAAATTCAAGGTTTGAGACCACTTGTGTGTGAGTGAATGATGAGTAAATTTTCATTTCTGTGTAAACTGTCCCTTAAACGCTGGCTTAAAATATGTGATTTGTTTAAGAAATGTGGTTAAACATGCATGTTTCAGTAAAAATGATTTTAAGTATATTGTATGATGTAGATATTGACTTGTTGCCACCTATTGGCCTGAAGTGATAAGGTCTTAAAAGGGGGCCTATTATGCTAAATTACTTTTACAAGTGGTTTAAACAGTTGTGTGACATTAGTGTGTTAATATAACCAATGTGCAAATTACAGGGGGTTTGGGGAGGGTTTGACCCCCTCCAATATTGCTTGATCCCCTCTGAAGGACTTTAAAACAAGATGTATGAGAGGTGGGTCAGCACGTTAATAGTAAGAAAATGCTTTCTCTGATCTATGTCCTTAATATTAATAATAAAAAAGTATAATGTAAATATAGATTTGAGCGGTTTATAGCATTGTAAATGCATAATTGTGCCAATCAATGCTAGGAAAATATCATTCAACAGTCTGAAAATAGCAGCTCTTGAGGACCAATACCATCTAAAGTTTTCACAACACACATTTCTTGTAAAATACTGTAGGTGTCTATATCTGCATGTAGCCCAAAAAAAAAAAAAAAATGGACACATAATTTGTATAGTTTGACCTACAGTAACCTCTAAAAGTCACTAAATATCCCTCAAAACACTGAAAACGTATGCATTTTATTAATAAATTAGATGTTATTTAAATACATTCTTAAATTTGGTTTACTGAAGCATGTATTACCAAACTACTACCAAAAAATTTGGTACTACTACCCCCCACAGGTGCACATGCATTGATTTCCGACATGTTAAGTGGAAATGACTTGACAGTATATGGTAGTTCGTCATAAAAGCATGTTACTGTATACCACTGTAATCAGGCAATATATGAGTGATTAGGAAATAGCTTAAAACACTCTTGATAAAATCTTATTTGTCTTAGTTTAACTGGGAAATAGGTCAATAATATTAGCCCCCCTATAATAAATATATATTTTATTTCCTTTCATTTATATAGCATTTTACGGCTGCCATATTGCGCATCAGCTGATTGGGGGAGAGGAGACAGATTAATATTAAGATTAAGCCAATTATAATATGGGGATGGTTAGGAGGCCAAATTTAGCCAGGATGTCAGGGTGAAACCCAAACATTTTTTTAAATCCCCTGGGATTTTTAACGACCACAGAGGATCAGGACCTTATTTTAAAGAGCCCATATTATACATGAAATAGGGTCATATCTTGGTTGTAAGGGTCTCCAACAACAGTCTAATATGCATGCAAGGTCAAAAAACACTTTTATGGTCTTATAATCTGCAATTATTTTTACCTAAATATCCCAGCGACTCCCGTATGAATCGTCCAGTGATTCATTTGTTCCCAAACCCCTCCTTAGCGCGAAGCTAATCTGCGCTGATTGGACCAATGACACTCTGTCGCGATTGGTCGACTGCCTTCAGTCAGAGAGTGAAATGGGCAATAGCTAATCAGCAATATAAAAAGTAATCACAGTTCATACACGCTCGATAGTGTAGCTGCCATACACACACAAAAACACACACACACCTTCGGACGACAACGCTTCCGCCCGCACCCGCCAGGTTTTAGCCTGAGAACCCGCTCCGTTTTCTGCCCGCCGCGCCCGATCCCGCTAGAGCGGGGGAGAACACAACCAAAAGTTACCCAGCTATACAGTCCAGATAGCCAAGATGTCTGTATAAACACACACACAGCACCAAGCACACAAAGCTCGCTCTCGCTCGCTCTCTCTCTCTCTCTCATACGCGCGCGTGCGCACTAACACACACACACAAGCACCAAGCAGACTCTCTCTTTCTCATTCGCATAGCAATATCCGTGATATTGCTAGACAGCCCGCTCCCGTCCTAAATTAAACCCGTTACCGACCGCTCCCGCGATTTATTTGGAAATTTATTCCCGCGCCGCAGAAATCTGGCGCGGGGGCAGCCGCGGGAATGCAGAACTCTACCACGGAGCTCCATAAACAAAGCAGCACGCGTCGCGTTTTTAACGTGACTTTGCACGCGATAAGAGAATATAGCCAGTTAACTGGATACAGTACACGCGGTTACAAGTAACAAATCACAAATACAAATACATTTGCAAGCTAGAGTCAACGAGGCAACAACTTTAACCGCACGTACTTACACTTGAGAAATGAAAACCCATCCTGACGTCCATCAGTAAGTTACTCTTTACTGATCCTTCCTTTAACAAATGCAGATGAAGTATTCTTTGTAGCATGTAGTTTGCAGAAGTTTCCAGTAGTTTCCAACTGCTTGGTTATAATGCTGATGTTTCATCTTTGGGTAGAGACTCAATATAATATCCATCTGCAGTGTGACTTCAATCGACCGGCATGTTTGTGTTTGTGTTTGTGTGTGTCTGGGTTTCTGCGTCAGAGGGCGGGGCCTCAGGTTTGAAATCTCCCGGGTTTGCGCGTGCACGTGAATAACTTGGTTTCATTCGTACGTCATGGCGAAACACCTAATGAATCGGTATCAAGGCGACTTGTTTGAAGCACTATGAGTCGACTCTTTTATAGATGAATCAACCGTTTTAAACACTGTATTCTTACAGATTTAAGCCTTAGCTGGATACTTCACTTCACTTAGAGCTGTGTTACACACTACATGGAGGGGAATTTTCAAAAACCCATAATATGGGCTCTTTAACATCTGAACAGTATAGAGACCCCGTCTCTATACTGGGGCGTTAGGACCCAAGCAGACCACAGGTTAAGCACCCCCTACTGTTCTCACTAACACTACTTCCAGCAGCAACCTAGCTTTTCTATGTGGTCTCCCATCCAGGTACTGACCGAGCACAGCCCTGCTTAGCTTCAGTGGGCGACCATGTGGGAGCTGCCGGCTAGCTAGCTGTTTGATTGGCTACAGAATTTTAAGTTCGTTATACAATGACTTGTCTAATTGACCTAATTAACCTAGTTAAGCCTTTAAATGTTGCTTTAAGCTGAATACTACTATCTAGAGAAATAGCTAAGAAAATATTATCCTCCGTCTCCATAGAATTATTAAATAATTATGTATAAGAGTTGTTTTTGAAAAATGATTTCACAGATAGGCAAATGATTTTGTATTTAGTTGTATATTCCTTAGTAAGAGTCTAAAAGTAAGTGATTGAAAATAGGGTCGGTGTGCGCACATCCTACGAAAACTTCGAGCAGGCGCTCGATCAAATGTGTGAATGATCTGCTTTTATCTCGATGTTTCTCAACAGTGCCAGAAGAGAAGTTTTTGACGCTGGAAGTTTTCCACAAGTTTACTCTAGACAGAGCCAAGCAGGACATTCGCAGTGTTTGGCGGGCGATCCTGGCCTGTGTATATGACCTACTCTTTGACAGGTTTGCAGGTTTTAAAATGATCTTTGGCTTCACCACATCAGCGCTCACATCACATATATCACAGAAAAACAGGCAACACAAATACATTCAATATCATCACATAAACCACATTAAAAACTCAATTATTCATGAAATTCTAATGGCAGTCGGCACAAAGGACATTTGATACACAGTTTTCTTTACTTGGATCTATATCATGGTTGCAGGTATGTGCGCTCTTCCGGGATGTCTGTTTGATCATGTGGGCTTGTTTTGTTTTTGTTGTCCACGTGTATTTGTTCTGGTCATGTGTTATGACCAAGCGGCAACCTCCCGCTCTCCCTCAGGAAGCCAATACGGAAGTAACTAAAACTGCAATTCATCCGAAATTCCGCTAGTCCTGGCCACTCCTGGCTCCAAAACAGAGCAAATTTCAATTGAGCCCACTGTTAGAATGGCCAACTTTACAGCAGAAAAAAAGGTGTTTACTGCCTGGTACAAAAAAAGATTTTGGTTAATACAGCTAATATTACCCTTCATGACAACTGTGAGGGGGGTGAATTTTTTTTATAACTCATTCGTTTCCTTTATATTAAGTTATATTAAGTTTGCATAATTAAGGGCGTGGCCACTTGAGTGACAGTTAGGTCTCACTGGTCGCCGTCACGTCACCTCTGCAGATTAGCGACTGAACTCGACATATTATCGTATTTCTGTGTTGTTTTATGTGGCTTTACACAGTCAACTGCCGTTTGGACTTGTTTCCCACAATTATTAGATGGCATGGCATGCTGAGGGCACTTAATTGTGCTCACAAACCATTCACGTGGCCTCCGTTTCCCATGTGAGTAAAGTTATATACTTATATACCATCTCTATACATGTATTTGTTTTATTTAAGATCATTTATCATTTATATTTATATTTAGAGCTGTAATGCAC